GGGTACTGGAGTGGAACAGTCGCACCTTTTGTTATGACTGTAATAGAGCTTGAACTACCTGGGTTTAGTGTGCAGGTCTTGAAAACTGCTCTTGGAATAGGCTAAATTAGGTTAATCACAAGCACCAGTGATTTTGCATTATTCTGTGAACAAGGAAAACTCTTGGCTTGCAGTGACATTTTTTGTTGTTAATTAATCAAAATCTAGACATGCTGAATTGTGCATCACCACTGACCTCCAGCCTCTCAGCAGCTGCTGAAAGTACTAAGTAATCAATTCACTGCCACAGAATAGCTGCCCTGATAAATCCCAAAACAGAAGATAGTGTTTCTTACCTTTTGGAAAGCTCAACACCAGGCCGAGCAACACAGCGAGGAATACACAGTGTCTCATTGCCGCTTCTGTTGCTGCTGCTACTTGCTACTAAACCTAAGAGAAAGTGCTTTTCTCTTCTGGCGTCAGCTCATTTAAGGTCCCAGCCACAGGTAGAGAGTTCAGCCCTGAGCTGACGTCATGGTGGCAAGCGGCGAGGAAGAAAAACACAACTTGGATCTATTATTTGCCGCTGGGAGGAGATTTCTGGACCTGCAGTGTTCTTCTTTTAAGTCATAAATGCTTGAGACCTGTTGATACAAGGAAGTTACTGCTAAATAAGCCGATGTGGGAACTGACAGCACACCAGCTATCCCGTGCCAGCTCTCAATACTGACACCTTCAGTGCAAATTAAATGGAGGGTGCTGTATAATCTGTTCTTAAAGTGGAAGAAGCTATCCCATCCCAAGGCATGCTAATTATGCACTTGGAGCGGAGTACCTGGGATCCACATGCTCACTTTGTTTGCAATAAATTAACAGTACAGACAAGCTCTATGTCTCAGACTCCAATTGTTCTTTCCTTACAAGCAAAATTTTACGTCAAAGTGCTTCTTACTGCTCAACAGGGTAAGAAGCAACAGACACCACCTGCATATTTGACATCAAAGAAACAGGACTGACCTTGGCCCTTCTAGCAGCAATTATGGCTGTTTTGTTTGCTGCCATCTTATGTGTGTTACGGGTTCACTAAAGTGGTGTGGCAAGAGAAGGGGGAGCAGGCAGGACAGCTGGCAGGTGTTTGACTTTATCTGGGTGGCAGCCCTCCTTTCTTGAGAGGAAGCGTGTTTGTGCCGGGGAGACATTTGGAAACAGGGATGGTCAGGCTGGAGCAGGGAGCCCGCAGCAGATCTAGAAATGAGAAATAGCCCAGAAGGCCATGGAGCAGGTAACACAGCTGTGACACAGGGAAAATAGGTGTGAGACAGAGACTTTTTGACATTGCATCCCAGGAAGCCTCTGAAATTTGCTAGGTAGAGACCAAGATGAGAAACAAGGTCTGTGCGGGCAGCATCTGGTTTTCCCAAAACCCTCTTATTTTTAGCTGCCTCACCTGCCCGAGTTCTCTAGCTGAACAGTGTGTTTGTTCTGCTTTGTGCTCCAGTAAAATGCACTGCTTGAGACCGTTAGAAATTGGATGGCCCACAGTGGTTTCCAGTTCCTCCTTTTCAGGCAAAGGTGTCATTTCTCTCACTTCAAAGGTCTGGGTGACCCTGGATCCTGCCACAACTGCCAGTAAAGTCTTTCTGTGAAATAATCACAGGTTATCCCATCATTATCAGACGTGGACAAGAAGGATGAGCAACCCATTGGTGTATCTCCCCCAAAGCTCCACCTCTAATGGCTGTGGAGCTGGTCTCCTCTGGAAAACTCCACTGCCAGCAACCTGGCAGGTTATGAACACACTTCTAAATGTGAAGTAATAGCTCCGTGTGTTAAACACCTCTCCCCTTCCTTCACCTGCTTTTGTTTGATCTGCTGTTTTAAGAACAAGATATGCAGTCTTGTGTACTAATTTCATATATTCAAAGGGTGGCTCTTCTTGTATGTAGGAGGGTGGGAGAGACCAGAAGTCTCATTGAATGACTCAAGTCATTCTTGAGCTTAGGAAGTCCTAAACTTTTAACTTGCACTGAACCAGGAAACATTGGTGGCTTATGGACAGCAAAAATGTTTGGGTGCCTCTCTGCCGGCATGGGGAACGAGCGGCCTCGTCCCTCTGCACCCTGCCACGCGGACCTGCTCAGGGCGCCGAGCCCAACCAGTGGGGTGTTTTGTCTGCATCTTCCTTTGCCTCTCCAGCCCCAAAGCCCCTCCAGTGCAGCCTGCTCCCTGCACCTACCCTCAGTCCACTCAGTGACCCCCTGGCAGCACCTGCCCTGCCCCATGGCAGCCTGGGACTAGCCCACAGCTCCTGAGGGAGCCCCATGGTGGACACCTTGCGTGGCTGCCAGGGTGGATCTGTGGGGTGGGGGAAATCCCAAGCTGTGAGGGGAGGCCAGTATTGGGGTCTAAATGTGTCCCCCCCACCAGGGGGTTCAGTGCCAGGCCCAGGGCCCAGTCATGGGGGCTGCCCCCGGCCTTCCCCAGGGCAGTGGGCCTGCCCAGGGCAGGGCACAGCACCACGGGGCACCAGGCCAGGCTAGGGGGTCCCTCAGGAGCTGGCGCTGTGGGGGGGCCCTGGGCTCGAGGCAGCCCACGCTTGCTGTCAGGGAGCTGCGGGACCGAGGGCAGTGGGGGACCTGGAGCAGCCAGGGCCCGTCCCACTGCCCTCAGCCAGGGAGCAGGGCCAGCCTGTGAGGGTGGCCAGGGTCAGAGCCAGCTCCCGGGTGGCCTAGGGTGTGCTAAGGGCACCCACAGCCCCCTCTCCCTCCAGCTGCCCCTCCAGGCCATGCTGGATCCAGCTCCTGCCCCTGCTGCTGCTCAATCCCATGCCAGTTGCCTATCCCAGCCCATTTGGTTCCTCCAGGCCCCTCCTTAAAACTCCCCTTTGCTGGGGAGCTGACAGAAATAGGGAAGGAAATGCCTGGGAAGCGTTTGGCACCAGAGCACTGTGCCTCCCTGCTCAGGCAGCATCCAACCTCCATCCCAGGCCACCACCGCCCTCCCAGGTTTGCCTCAGGGGCACCCAAAAACTAACCCTGAAGTCTCATTACAATAAAGCATTTCAGTCCTGAGCAGGCTGTGCTGTGAGCCCCCAAAGAGACCCAACAACCCTGGACACCGGCCATTTGGGGAGCCACAGCATGTGCTTCAGCTGGAAATCAGTGTGCAGAGGGGGATAAACCTGGCTGTGGAGGGTGTTCGGCAGAGCTGTATGCCCCCAGTCCTCTGGTGATGTCCATCTCCCATACCTAGATTCTTCAGTCATCACGATATGCCCCAATTTTCCAATGCTGCCTCAAGGTGCATTGTTCTTTTGTCTTGATCTTTGTTTATGTCAGGAAAAGGAAGTATCAAAGGTAAAAGGCCTTGTTTATCTATTACAAGGTGCATAATCCTGCGCAGCCTCATTATTTGACTGTAAGTTGCATGTAATCAAGGGGCAATCGTGCTGCCAGAAGACATATGTTAAAGTAGGAGCAAGTGTCTTTTATAGCTCTTCACATGCATCAGCTGGATACTTTCTTCCTGTGTATTTTTTCAATCCTATTCCTTACTAGATTCCTATACGTTTTGCTATCTCATGTAAATTTGGTTTATCCACTGTATAGTACATACACAAGTAGAAATATATGTTGTAATTAGCTAAAAGTTAAAAAAAAACTCCAGAAAATCTAAATCAAAGTGCTATACATATGGATTCACCCATAATCAGGGGAAGCAGATGCACTTTGACTTCTTTTCAGGTGGTTCCCAAGACAGTTGAGGGCACACACTATGGATGCATTTGATGATCTCAGAGGCACTGGTATGCAAATCTGAAGCGAGCAGGACGGTTAAATCATGTGCTTGTCTGTAACTGTAAAGGTCTTTTACCTAGTCTTATGGCAATGTTGTGACAAGTATTTTTGCACTGCCAATTTCCTTAAAAGATAATCTGTTACAGTGCCTCAGTTTTATGACCTTAAAAGATACCAATGTCACACAGAAAATAGAACAACTTGCAATTGATAATAAAACTGAGGCACTGTAACAGTCCTTCTTTTGCAAATGAACAGAACATCAGGATTTAATCGGGTTATTCTCTCCTTTATTTTCAGGATGTAGCAAGAAGTATGTTCTAGACTCACCATTTCTCTGTGAGTGGCACTCACTTCACCTAGGGGAGCTGCATAATGTGGCATCTTGTGACACTACTGTCAAGGGTGAGGGATATCTTACTTATGGGGTGAGCTACTCTCTGCAGACGTTGGTCTCTTTTCATAGCTACTGGAGGAGCCAGATGGTGGGTTCAAACTGGCCACCTAACTTTTGGTAGAGCAGATGAATCCTACCTTAGTCCCATCTGATTGCTATCGCAGTTGAGTGTGGTACTCCTCCGGAGCAATATAGGAAAATATTGTCCCAGATGAACATGCCTGCCATTACTCCAGATGCTCTTCCACATCATGCCTCTTCCCAGCAGCCTGGGCTGGACATTGTGTTCATCCGGATTCAAGGTACCCTCCTTCTTCCCCTGAGAGACACTCAGCTGTATATTCTTCACAGTCCCCGGTGGCACTTAGTGAGGTAGGACCGATCTCACTGTGGTCAGGTCCAGTCCCTTGCCCTTGCAAACAGCCCTGCTGCACCAACCTCTCCTGAGGTTTTCCTCGCCTCCAAAATGCACTCACACACACAAACACAAAACTTTACCAATTCTCTTGCATTTCCAGCAGGATGAAAAATTAAATTGAAGAAAACTTTAAAATTAAACTTTGAGTTGCTTAATGCTACTGAAATAAACATCAGAACAGAACTTCTATTTCAGCTGAGAAGTTCGTTTAGCACAACTAACAACATACCCATTTCCTCTTTGCTTTTCATTTTAGTTCTTCAATCACCAAGCACCACCAGAAGAATAAAAGAACTATAAAATTTCTTATTTTATAGATTAGATTTCTAATTATTATTAAAACAATCTAAAATTGCATATGCATCTCTCTACAGGAAAAGCTAAAGACAATAAAAAAGCTGAGACATAGTAATATTCTTAGTTTTATTGTATCCTTTTATAATACTGACTAGAACGCCAGATTTAATAATATTGGATGCAGGTATAAAAATAATCCAATCCTTAAAAATTATATTTTGCTACTACAGTACTGTATAATTAGTGGAGGCTGAAAATATGATACAACTTTAAATAATACTGGTTTGGAAAATGTCCTCAGAACCCCAGCAACTTGGAAGCAAACATTCAGAGATACAGGGAAGGAAACAGGGCAATGTCAAGAACATAAAGCAGGTTTACATTCAGGTTGATAACAGAAGCACAAACAAATGCTGAATATTTACCTTTTGAAATAGAGCTCACAACAGGTGAGCTTTACTACTGCAATTCTGAAAGCTGCTCAAATAAACCATTATGATTTTACACACCAAGTTTGACCTTCTGTTAGGAGAAAGTCCTGTAGAATTTAACAGGGCTTAAAACAAATGACTGAGTTTAACAGAATTTCCTTAAAAAAGGAAACTATTAAATATTTATTCTGTTGGTTTGTTGCTTTTTTTTTTTCTTTAAAGTAAACCCATCCTAGCAGATTTCATTGGAGACCTTTTATGTCAGGCAAATTCTATGGCATTGTTCAGGAGAAGTGATCAGTTTTTACTGTATTCCACAGGACTTTTCCATGTAGCATTTTGCAGATCTGGGGGCTGCCTGCTGTGGTCATTAACCCGAGCAAGACTCCTATCCCTTCTAGCATTTTACCAGAATAAAGACCAGGGAACTTAGCATACTACTTTTGAGGAACATCAGGCACCCTCTCTAGGTTTTCCCTCAACAAGGATATTACACTCATGCAACACAAACTAGACACAGAAGAGGTGTCATCCCACATATGACTTTACAGTACAGAAGCCACACTCTCTTTAGATGTTTACTTCTGCAAAACAAGTAAGCATATTCCTTTCTTTTTTTTTTTTAATTTCTTACCCCTTCATGGATTTCTGTCCTGCTTTTCAATTTCAGCAGTTCAAGGGAACAAAGAATTAAATACACATTGCAAAGCTCCCAAAATCTTACAAGCACACAGTGCATAACCCTTTCAAAACTGGGAGATCTTGCTTAATTTCTGAAGGGACAAGTAAGAGTGAACTGACGAGTAGTTCTTATCTGCAACTGCAGAAAGCACCTCTACGACCCTAGAAGATCTTACACAACAGGAAACAGGTTGGTTGATCAGTAAAACAACTTCACAAAATTCATATTCATTCTCTTCTCAGGAAAGTGTTTCAGATCTTGAACCTGTTTTGTTCAATCTCACATAATACAGGTCCTGCTACAGTAATAAGTATACTTTTAAAAAATAAATACAACATGGAAAGGCAGCAACAGTATCACAGAAATAGGCAGAACACAGAGCCACAGGAAAGCATGTACTACACACAGGTGACCCTGGTGGTGGAATAATCCAGGCCTAAAAAAAACTTCATTACTGTCCATGGGAGAGTTAGCCCGGTCACTACAATGGATGCTGGATTAGGTCCTTTGTGTGTAAAGAGGAAAAAACATTAGTCAGCATAGGAAGAGCATTTAAGTAAAATGCATCCGTTCTTGCTAATTTAAGGAAGAAAACTAAAGATTAAACATCACTATGAGGGAATGAGAAGTCCAGCTGGATTTGGAACAGACATGGCCATTGACCAGCATTAGAGACAAGTGGGAAGCACTTGGCGTGTCCGCAGCAATGTCCAAACCCGCTCTGCTGCTCACTCAGGTCCTGGCAAAAAACCTTTACAAGTATTGGTACAAACAATTTCGCAATGACAAACACCTCTCTCTAACTGTCATTAATTGCTATTTTTTAAGGCCTTTTACTACCACTCAGTGTGGAGGCAAATACCTTTCAGAAGGCTGGTCACAAGGGGTGACTCAGTACATGACCGTGACAGTGGGATTTATGGAAAATGCCGCAACAGCAATGAGATTCATTGCTGCTGTGTTACCTAATGCTTTAAATGTGGAGGGCAAAGGGCATCAAAATGCCCCTGTCCTGTTTTTTCCTCATATAGCCCAATTCAGTGCTGTGAGGTTTCAACAGTATGCAAAAGGTCCCTGATTTTTCCAGTGCAGCTGGAAGGGCTGGCCAGGGCGAGCAGCGGTGCATGGCAGGGACACAGGAAGGCTGCGCATATGAGCCTCCCTTTTGAATGATCCCTCAAATCTGCGTTTTGCTGCTCTGTTCACTGGGGCTGCCTCTCCTAGGCTGGCTGCTGGGGGTATTTCTGTGGGTGAGGGGCTTTTGTCAGCACAATTGGCAGAGCACCATAGCAGCAAATGTGTGCCTCCCACATCTTTTCCTATCAAGCAACAGAATTAGCATTTTTTCCAAAGTTAATAGAAAATACACCCACACAACTGCCCATGGGCCCTTGCTGACTGCTCCCCCAGCTTTCCACAGCAGCCAGGAGCAAGAGCAGGTTTCTGTGCAGTGTTGGTGTAGTTTTTCTTCCTTTCCCCACATCTGGCTGAACCACTTGCATCCTCCTTACAAGCAACATGCCACTTCTATCTTATCCTCTTGGACAGTAGAGAGCAATTCCCCTTGGCAAAAACATCCAGTGTGGTCAAAATTTGCAATTTGGGGTAGCTAAAAGTAAACTAAATAGTCTGAGAAATAAGCTGCATTAATTTAGACATCCTACGGGGAGTTAGGTACTGAAAAGAGAGGCATCTACATTTGAAAGTGGGCTTGAGGGCATGTGAAGACCCCTCTCACATCCGACAGGAGCGACAAACCCCACTCCACTGCCAGAGGGTGCTTAGTTTATGGCAGAGATGGAAGCAGACAGAGAGGATCCCGGTGGCACCTTTAACAGAGGCAAGCTGCACAGAAACAGGTCACATCCCTGCTGTGGCCAGGCAAGCCCATTGCTGCTGGGACGTGGTAGTAAATAATTGCAATAAAATAACTGTCATAAATTGTGGCAAAACACACTGCACTGCACCCACCCCTTCTGCCCTAGTGGAGCTGGGAGCCGGTGGGGCTTGGGTGAAGACAGAAGCATCACAGCACGGGGAGTGGCTGGGCTGGTGGAGACCCAGGGGCTGAACTGCCCTGGGTTGCATCTGCTGGCTCCGCAAAGACTCCCTGGATCGGTCACCACGCCACGCGGGAAAGCACCTGCACTGACCCTGGTGCTGACACCTGCCTAAATCCTCTTCTGCCTGCCGAGCGAGGCCTCCTAGGACACCCAGAGAAGGCGCTGCAGGTCAGGAGAGACCATTTTCCTCCTCCTGTGGACTATGCATTGGCTCCATGACTCCCTTCTTACCAAAGCTAAAAGGAAGGTCAGGCTGCAATGGATACATTCTCATAAGAAATTTCCCAATGTTTACCTGCTCTGGCAGAGAGAAAATTTCAGTGCAATAAAGTTCTCTCTTTTGGAAAAGGCCAAGTTTTACAGTCCTCCCTCAGGAGACCCTGCTGGGTTTACTGAGACCCTTTCACTCCAGGTACAGCATGAAGAAGAATTTGAAGATCATTAAGAACTGAAAATTAATTACTTGCAAACTTTTGTGTGATCTCAGTTAGGAACAGTCCTATCTCATTTCCACTCAAATCCCCTGCAATTTGCAATTTGCTGTGAGATATAGACCAGGAGTTTTGTTCATATAGTCCATGTTACTCTTTATATAGAAGGATTGATCTGCAATTGTGAGTTGATATTTCCTAATTTGTCCTTTGTACTTCGCACATGCAGGAACATTTCCCAGCCTTTGAACTAACCAAGCAATTGAACATATTTGCCTATAAGCATGTGCCTAAACTCTTCCTGATCTGATGAAATGCTGGCATGTGGTTAAATCCTACCATCATTGCTGGGACACTAGTAAATAGGGGCAGAGCCCAGTGCTCACCTATATGCTTTGGATTTAGATTTAGCATGAATCCCAGCTTCCCCCTTTCTTTTGTAACACAAACAAAACCCTCCTCCATAGCATGGGAAAGGCAGTCCTTTCTGTCCTAGGCACTCTGAAAACCAGAGGCAACTCACCCGCACAGAAACGACCCTGCCAACGTCCTCTTTGAAGGATCCCACAGCAAAGCAGAGTCAAGCCCTTAGTTCACATCATCCAATGGATCCTGTGTAATTAACATATTGGCTGCTAAAGAACGGGAGAAGAACATCATTCATGGACTAGAAACACTGATCAACATGGCAGGGAACAGCTAGTTCCTGTGCTTTACCTGTTACACTATTTTGGATACTGTAACTAGAGTTTCCCTTAAATATAGCTCCTTAGGCAGCTGTACTTCCCAGGCAGACATGAAGTTGCATGCATCGCCACCATAAGATCATGTAAGTGCAAAGCATACTGCCCTAGGCATCCATAAAGTTCTGTTTTTCTGCAAGCCCACACTGCTGTTTCTACATAGTAGATAAGGGGTGAGGCATAAAAAGACACTGTGTTCGTGTGCTATAGCTGGTCCACCAAACTATGTGTTCTCAAGCACATTTGTGGTGCCTTTCCTGCCTTGCAGTTTTGAGAAAATAGAAGTAAATGTGAGCAGGGACCAGAAACCTCTTAGCCCATGCAGCTGACTGCCTAGTGCTAGCTCCCCTTCCTCTGGGTAGCTGTTGCTCACTTTTGATAGGGAATACAACAGCCTTCAAAGTGCTTGGAAAGGATCTAGGGACTCACAGCATCTATAGGACGCAAGTACTGCTACCTGCTCCCTGATGGAGGGCTCCTCGTCACTCCAGGTTTGCCTCCGGTGAGCAACTACACAACACATCAGCATCTGAACTGCAGTTCTCACTTGGGGTTAGGCACTTTGGGGGATGCATCCCATGGTCCTCAGTGCTTCGGTGAGCCAAGCTACCTTATGAACTTACTTGTAGGCACTGTGTCTTTTCGAGCACTGCAGGGGAGAAGGGAATATCAGAGGATATGTGTCCTTCAGTGAAACTAGTTTATGTATGCACTACAGAGATGGTGGGTTAATGGCTAAGGAATTGTGCTGTTTGTTATCCTCATACAAGCAGCCACCTTGAAGTAAAAGCACAGTCACATTCAGGGGAAGGATCCGTATCTGGACCCTGTATCTGGACAGGGTTTGGATGACTCAGGTTAAGATTGAAGTAAAGATAAGCGGTAAATATACTTCATTAATAAGATCTCTTTCAACACCCAGCTCAGGTCAGACTACAGTCCATGAGCTTTCAATCTGATCTTTGGTGAGAAACGTAGTAACTTACATTCTTCAGCTTTTGCTGAAGTGATTAATATGAAGTAACACACCTAGGTGAGGAAACCTGCCTGGTCTGAATCACTTGAAACTAGGGTGGAGGAAAGCAAAACACTTCAATATAAGTGATCTTTGTTCCGCTGGGATTGAAAGCATCATGGTTTTCTCTCCCTTAAATGCAACTGACTGCAGTGAGCCTTATTTTCCAATGTACTGAAAGACTCCACAGCTCCTACTGACGTCAAGGTGGGCTGTGGAGGCTTGAAAGCTATGTCCCACCTGCAGTGCCCAGAATTCACGTTCCACCTGCCCAGCCAGGGCTATAGCATTATTGCTCCTTCCCAGATTCCTTGTAAAGAGCAGGCTGAATTCCCAGCTCATGTTCTTCCCTGTGAGCAACTATTTAACATTATATTACTGTTTCTACAGGCATTTAAATCCCTGCAGGGAAACAGAGCCCCGTAAGATCCTATATGGAAGCGCTATGATGACGTGGAGTGGCATCACTTCTGAACGATGCTGGCTGACAAAACAACAACATACTCGGACTCTTCCCTATATACAGGAAGTTTTCAAAGCGGCGCATAGGATCAACTGTGTCTTTTTTTCAGTTAGAATTGCAGTGGTATGACTAACTTTCCCGTACTCCTTGGAGACGATCAACCCATGAATTCAGCCAACATTGCCAGGTACCAGGCTTCAGCAAGGACCCAGCCATCTGAAGAACTTCTACCAGTAAGAAGGTGAGGGCCAGAGGACCAGCCAGCTTCCCTGTCACGTATGAAGCAGAAAACAATGCAGCAATGGAAAAGGAAGTGGGCAAACTTGCGCTACTAAAAGGAGTGGCACAGTGAATCTTTGCAGGAAGGTTAGCTAAGAAGACAAGCACAGTCAACCGTGAACAAGATCTGTAAACAAAACACTTCCTAGTGGTATTCAATGCAGAGTGCTGGGCACAGTTCATCTGCCTGTACTGATCCATGCTTGCCATGTAGCGCAAAGAGTGAAGAAGCAGCACAGAACAAATCCGGAGTACATGTGTTAACTTCTGTCTGGGTCTTTTAGTGATGTGCACCTTGAGCCGTTCACTCCTCCTCCTCCTCCTCTCTGCTGCTCAGCAAGTGTAACCGTTCCTCAGGGCAGCAACGCTCAGCGTGGAGTTCAAAGGCCTTCCTGTTAAATGGGAAGAGTAAGATTGATGTGGGCTGAACTACCCAGGTGACAGATTGTACCTGGAGATCAGGGGCCACAAAACTGTGTCAATCTTGCACTCCCTCTCCACTCCCTGCTAAAAATAGTCTCTTCTTCTGGTTTCGTCACTAATGAAGGATGGATTGTATTGTCCAGGGTAGATGCATGAATGTCGAGATCCAGGCAAACCAGTGTAGGGAGGATAAAGTCCGTTTCTTTCCAGTTCAGGATTTCTCAGTCCAGTTGGCTGTATTAGCAAAAAAATTAAATAAAAAGGGTCTTATTCTCACACTCAAATCCTCCTTCAGGCACAGCCTTACCACCCTTCCCAGCAGTTATTCCAGCACCTAGAAGGTACAACGTGATTGCTAATGATCTCTAAAACCTAGAATGATTTTTACTGTGAAAGTTATGCATTGCCTGAGGGGATTATTCTGATGCAATCTAGTTTCCACACCTTGCCAATTAGCAGACTTGAAGTTTACCTGACTCCACCAAGTGCAGCCTAAGTGCACAGTTAATTTTTAAACCAAGAGAATTGTGCTGATGAGCTCAGGCATTGAAACAACTCTCGTGAAAAGGAGGTTGTCCCAGAACCACTCTTAAAGGAAACGCTTCTAGAAAATTGAAGTTAGTCTCCTGCTTTGAGTATTACCTGGGAGCACTTCTCTGCCCATTAACCTAGGTACCTACTCTCCCAACACAGGCACTTGAATTATATGTCAAATACAAAGTGGTCTGACCTTCCTTTCTCTTCCCTTCTCTTACTTAAGGAAATCTCCTGGGGACACTTGGTTGAAGAACTTTGATGGTCTTACCAAGACTGTACAATCCTTTCACCCAGTAAATAACATCAAGCCAGCTGGTTTGATTTGTTACAGAGCAGATCCATGCAAAGCCCTTATTACCTACTCCTTACTAAAAAGCTCCCCTTTCTAGTCACCAGCATAATAAAAGTCTTTAAAAATGTTTAGGAAATGCATTTTCATTTCCAAATCTCATTCTTACTGGAAGCAGGAAGGAGGATCATTTCCCTTCATGCTGTGCAACCCAGTAAACTTGCTTACTGGAAAACTTAAAATACAAGCCAGAAAAAAAATATTGCTCACTGTTCTCGGCTCTGGAAAGTAGGAGTCCAGAATATGTGATTTGGGTGAAATCCTGCAACCTTCACTCACGTGAGTAACCCACACACACCTTAAGTACATCCAGTATGTTCCTGTAGATTAGTGACAGATGATACACCAGCAGCACAGCTCCGGATACAGACATTAGCAGATGGTACCAACCATGACAGCAGGTCTTGTGCTTGTGTCTTTCTCTGCCCTTCACAGCCCATTACTCCTCCACCACTTCCCCCCTACCACTTGTTCCCCCAGAGCTGGAGGGCTGCTCCTTATGCACCCTTCCTGCTGCAGGAAAGGGCCTGTACCTGGAGAGTGGGAGGAGTGGAAGAAAAGAGGGGTCCTCAGTGACCAGCATCTTCCCATCTTGCGGTGAAGTTCCCCAGGCAGAGGTCTCAACCTTCCAGCATCATCAGTGAGGGTGAAAGGGAGAAAACTACCCACAGGAATTCCTAGCAGCCTGTCCAAAACCTTTAACCTTCCTTCTCTACTCTAGGATTGGGCTTTTTAGGCATCTACCAAAATGTTCCTAGGCATTTCCCTAGCACTCTTCCTAATGACATCTCTTTGTGATATTCACCACATGTGTAATAGCTGGAGTCCATAGGACTACCAGTGTCTTGCTGTCTATGGAAGCCATTTATTTGCTCTTTCATTTTGCAGGAAAGAGACCTGTCCCTCCAAAAATAAAGGAATGTGTCTTTGCTGTATCAGGCACAAAAGGTTAATAGCTAAGCTATGGATAGATACCGAATAATACACATCTGTCATCTGCAACAGGTTCTTGGTGCTTCCGTTCTCTTGCATCTCGATGGTCTCTCTGCCCCACTCCTGTGCCCGGGGGTTCTTTGGGTATTCAGCATATGGTGACATCTGGAAATCTCCACTCTTGAAAATGAGTTTACTTATGTCATTTTTATTCTTCCTGTTTATAAAAGAATGAAGAAAGTGAAAACATACAACTTAGCCTGCTATCTTGTATGCATTTCTGATGCGATCTCAGGAGCTTTACTTCATGTTATGAACCTTGACTAGGAACAAAGATCACCTCAGAAGACCTATAGTCCAATCTTCTGCTCCGAGGCAAAATCAGATATGAGGTCAGATCATGCTACTCAGGGCATTATCTAGTGGGATTTGAAATCTCCAAGGATGGAGATGGCATAACCTTTCTGAGCAACCTGTTCCACTGCCTTACTGTCCTCTTGGTGAAAGAGTTCTTCCCTACATTCAGTTTGAACCTCTCCTGTTCCAACTTATGCCCGTTGTCTCTTAAAAATGGGTGTGTTCACCTGAGTCAATGAAAAAGTCACGGAAATCCAGGAAGAAAGAAAAACGTATGGGAGCCCCCATGCTATTCAAGTCTCCAAGTGCTTAACTATAGCACTTCTAGGCACTATGTTAATTCCTAAGAACGAAGGCCTGCAAGCTGCCAGTCTGAACAACACCATATGCCCCTACGTGAGTACCATGTCGTTTGAGTGGACTTTGGCGACACTTCCAGTTCAAAGCAGAGTACCCTCCAGGAAGTCACATAACCTACCAAAGGCCAGGACTCATGAGAAGATCAGTGTCCATCCCTGTAGAGATCTGCACTCCGGGGCCTGGAGGTGTAACTGGCCATCACACCTCCTGGCTGGGGCTTGCTGGCGTCCCCCTGGCTCAAAATACATGGGAACAAGTGCACACCACTTGTGCCAACCAAACCACTGCCATGTCTATGTTACTGATAAATCCAGCTGCCGACTTTAATCAGAGAGCTTTGAAATCCTAGATTTGGGGTCTGGAATGGCGGGGAGGTGGTGTCACTGCAAGGCAGCCCTTTTCATGATGTATAAATCACAAAGCAGAGCTTCCTTGGCAAGCACATCTTGCCTCTAGTCAGAAGCTACCTGCTGGTACGGGAACTACATGTATGCATGCGTGTGTGCGTCTGAGAGGGAGAGACACACAGGGTGAGAGCACATGCAGGACTTGTCCATAAAGGAAAATTAAAATAGCCTTAATTACACTCAAACACCACTTGAGCAATGACCAGTAATCCCTCCTGTTGCCTAAACTTCTCCTTTCTACTTAGCTTGCATTTTTGGAGACTGTTCCTTGGCTGCTTTACAGCTCTGAGTGGGAAGGACTCCTTTGCCTCTCCATCCTTAGAGGACATGATTGCCAGGTGCATCCTTAAGAGACACTGAGTCAAATTTTTTAGCCTCGTTGCTGGAAAAAAGAAAAAGATATGCCCCAAAAGAAAGTACAATGTAATACTTCAGTATCTCTGATTACCCCACTTGCTTAGCTATACTATGTGTTCACCTATGTTTTGGTCCTTCAGGGTTCACATGTGGAGCACTAAGTGTGGTGTAACCCATTGAGAGGATGCCACGTGAGCCAGGGCCAGCGGTGGTACCTACCGGCAGCAGGTGACAATCAGTGCTATGCCCATGATAAGCAGAAGTCCCCCTCCTGCAGCTGCGATCACCACAGTGATGAGCTGATATGCTACAGACAGGAAAAACAGAGACTCACTTAGAAACAGTGATGTGGTTGCAAATACTAATGTAAACATATCCGCAGCCCTCATGCAAAGGGATTAACTGTTTATTTCCCATTTTCCCTCCCTCTGTAAGCAATATTGCCTTAAATTTTCAAGTGAAATGGATGGAGTTGGGGATCTCCTGCTGAAGGAAGAACAAGCTCTTGTTTCCCTAGGGGACAGATTCCCTTCACTGATAGATCAGAATAATTCAAATGATATTTCATGGATTCACCTCCAAATATCTTGCTTCAAGAGTGCCCACTATATGTGCTATCATGACAGAGTATCCAGAGAAAGGAGATCTCCTTTCCTTAGGAGATAACATTAAGTCAACTTTGTCAAAGAAGGCCAACAGAATAGTTTTCAACAGAAAATGAAGAAACAAAAAACACTGACAAGAGTAGCGTGTACCTACTGCATTTTAGACATAGTCATTTGCAATTACTTGTTTCAAATTTCCCATTTCTGATGCTGTGGAACTTAAAAGAAACAAAACTCAGTACTTACGGTTTCCACAGTTGAATCCACCTAAGCCGAACGGGCAGCTGGTAACAGAAAACAACAGGGAGTTTCAGCGGCATAGTTGTGCCGACAGGTCACCAAAGGAATATTAAGAAGGATGGTGGGGTAGGGGGAGGGCAGAACAGTCACCATACCTCACACAGGTCTCATTTTCCAGCTTATATCCATCTTCACAGGCTAAAAACACAGAAGAGAGAAGGGCCATGAGCACCGCGTAGTGGTGCAGGGGAGGTATTTCCCATTGCTGCTTCCCACGGCAGTCTCACCCCAAACAACCTTGGGGACCGAGAAGCCGGTCTGCGCTGCTGGCACAGCAGGAGTGCGATGCACTCTGATGTGATGCAATATCTCCTCTGGTTTAGGCAAAACATTGTGCACTTAAATTCACCTCCCGCTGGCTTTGATGGGACCATTTCAGGGCCTTCTGAGCTAGCTCGGAACCTGGCACAGGGTGGGCAGCTGGTAACGTAATTCCCAGCAGAACCTCTTCTTGCCCAAATGGAAACTCACTGCATACTTGTATTGCTTCCCACAAAATAGCAGTGTAAAAAATCTGCAAGAGTCTCCAGTTTTTGTTTTGAAACCTCATTTGAACAGTGCTACTTTAGCATTGATGCACATTATTAATTACTTTAAAATGTTAGTATTGCAACAAAATGTTATGCAAACACAGTCGGGGTAGCCCAAAGTGCTATGTAATGTTTTGCCTCATGTCACCTTCTTTTCTTGTCTTTCAAATTCGGAGCTAAATCAAATTTTGAAATATCATATTTTATTATAGACTAGAAATTAAATTTACTAGGTCTAAATAACCCAGAAAACTGCTGTGTACAAAATGTTGGTGAAAAACTGAAACTGTTGCTTCAAAATAAAATAATTTCTGTGCTTATGGACAGCTATCTCATCACCTGAATTATCTGAGAATATGATACTACCCTTCAGATGAACAGCAAAGGTGATGATACATTGGACACACAATTATAAGCTTCAAATTACTGATAAGATCACCGCTTTTCTCAGCAATGGTCCCACCAGAGCTCCTGCAGATCTGCTGCCTTTCGCAGAGGCAGCGAAGGTGGTCGCTCAAAGACTTGAGTAGGAGTGACACAGATGGAGTCGTTTCGGGCAGAGGGATAAGCCAGGGCCAGCACATGCAGCAGCCCTTGGGGTCTGCAAGACATTACCCAGGGGTCTGGGAAACCCCTGCAGCACAGTCCACTGGGAATAAAACTAGATTGTTATGTGAAAGCAAAAATGCTCATGGATTTTTTTTTTCCCTCAAACACCATATGCTTAAAAATGGTGAAGCAGCAGCGCTCAAGCCCTCTTCCCTCTGCCTTGCTCTCTAACCTAGGGAAAGCTCAGGTGCTCTCTAACCCCAGCAAGCACAAGGAAATCTGCAGGGAGAGAAGGGGGCTGCCCAGCAGAGGTCCCAGCTAAGCCGCAGCAAAGCCCTCGCCTCCTCTCCTCCTCCTCTGCTGCTCCCAGCACACCAGATGACTTTTCCCCTCCGGCACAGCCAGCGACTGTATTTTCAGAAACACTTAGCACAGGAGGGGAGGAAGGAAGAAAAGAAGGACAAACATACAACATTGTCCATTAGGATGAGCTGGCAATATTATAGTAAACCAAGAGAGAGCACTAGTTTTCTGGCTGGATTCAGAAGTTTATGGCTCTTCCAGCACCAATAACAAGCGATATTGATGCCAGCAGGGAGCAATGTGACTGTGACCTCCCCCTCATAATACAGGTCACAGAATTTCCCTAAATTTAATTCCAGTTTCAAATCAAATAGTAGAACTGGAGCTACATTTTAGAGAACCATCCAAGATTGATTTTAACATTTTCAGTGACGGACAATCAACCACAACCCTGGGTCAGATGCTCATAAAGTTAATTTCCCCAGCCATTAAAAACATTCACCTTCTTTCTGGTCTGAATTATCCCAGTGTCAAATTCCAGCCTTTGGATGTTTACTTGCTAGATTGGAAAAGGTTATATGATCACATTTCTCCTCCTCACCATCAAATCATTCTTTTGCCTTTAATAAAGCCAAATGCACAGAGATCTTTGAGTCTCCCTGGTTATTGCAGCTTTTCTCTGAACGCTCACAGGTTCTCTTTGACTCTTTTGATTTCTGGTTCCCAGAAATAGATGTTGGAAGCCCAGGGATAACAAAACTTCCCCTCTTCTGCCTGCCTGTGCCTCCTAAATGCACCCAGGGACCATGTTAGCCTTACAAGGCAGAGCTGGGGACCTCTTCTTTACCCACCAGGCTTCTTTCTCAGCTCTGCCCAAGCCTCTGCTTTCCAGGAGACGCAACCCACAGTGTGCCTGGCACTCCGCTCTTGGATGCCTGGTCTTGCTTGTGGTCATATTGAAATACTGTTTGCCTATATACCATTTATTAAGCGTCTCATGTCACTCAGTGTGCCATTTTCCCTGTGGGGTGTGTGGACACAGATGAGTGATGCACTCACAGCATGAATATTGCAGCTCTAGGCACAGACTTGCCGTAGCAACTGGCACCAGCGATAACGGAGGGGGCTGATGTCCACGATAGCTGGTCTTGCACCCCTTTCTCTGCCCTATATAGCCCCACTACTCTTCCACTACCTCTTTCACTCCATTTATTCCCCCAGAGCTGGGGATGGGGAGGGTGAGGCTCTTCACGTAGCCCCACTGCTGCATCTCATCATGATGCTTTTTGCACTGGATTTATTTTTCTCTCTCTAAGATGGCTTCTTTGAAGTCAAGGAAGAGACAAGAGGTAACTGGACAAGAATTAAGAGCCTCAGTCAACAAACAGCCAGGGCAAGGGTAGTAAATCCCAAAGGATCCTCGCCTGGCTCATTTGTAACACCGAGGCATTAGCAAAATGAGACTGGATGGGTTGCTCTTTTCACTCGCTAACAAAAGCAGACCAAAAACTTTATGGAGCAAATGTTCTACCAAAGTGAGCCACAAGATCAGGCACTAATGAAATCTGCAGTGAAGGGGAGGGAGGCATCACCATGACAGCTTGCTGGAGTTGCCTTCTCTAAAGAGCGCAGCAGCCCTGTGTACCCCAGCCCCAGCCTGCAGCTTGTGTGTTGGGAAGGCCTGGAGGAGCCTGCAGGCAGATGCTGGAGCCCAGCCTAATCTCACCTCCTCAGCCCTAGCCCAATAATATGTGTAGGGCACATACAGCTTGAGTGGTCTCAAAGCTGGAGCCGTGCCTTGGGCAGGAGCAGCCCTGGGACCCCACTGGCACACAGCTCTCAGGCCAGGAGACTTACAGGGGCAGTAAAGAGGAAAAGCAAGATCCTGAACATGCATCTCTCTGTCTTACTTAAACACTCGGTGCTTATGTCTTTTCCTCTCCTCACCCTGTCTTTTCTTGCCATTTTGCTTTCTCCTCTGACATCTTTCCTGCTCCTTTGAACATGCTCCCAGGAGAGCTCGCACTGTCACACTCACTCGGCAAGCTTTCAAACATGAGCAGGGAACAGAGGAAAGGCTTAAGTGTCAGGGGCCAAGCAAAGCTATCAAGTTGTGCTTTTCTACTTGGAATTCCTTTCGCTTTGCCTTCCCGAAAGAGACTCAGGGATCTCTTTGGAAACCTGCTTTGCTGTTCCTTGCTTTGCTCCAGAAACGCTCTGTACTATTAAAAATAGCATGCCCTTGAAAAGCTGGCACATTGGGTTTGTCGCCCTGTTTCTAAAACAGCTCTGAAGATACCAGGAAGGTTGAAAACCAGAAATGACCCAGAGACGACCGAACTGCACACCGAGAGGTACCACGGCCAACATGTTGAAACTCCTGTGGCTCAGAGACCCAGCCCCTCCTTGGTGCAGGGGATGCTTTTTCGAGCATGCCCCAGGAGACAGACACCGCAAGGCAGGACAGAACAATCCCTGGGGGTCGGGGCAGCCGATCCCCCGTGCCTCAGCAGCTCTCCCAGCCGCACCCGCCTTCCCACGGGGGAGACCGGACAGGGCAGCACAATAGCTGTTTCCCTCTTTGCAAATATTATAATTTGAGTTACTGCGCCACATTTTCACGACCCACAATGAGGGTCAGATGCTCAGGAGACCTCGGTTCCTGTTTAGTCACTAAAAGGGCAGAGATTTTTAAAGAGGCTGGCATATTGTATGCTATATTTATCAGAAAATAGCCCTAAATATCAAATGAGGGTCATAGCTTGGCTTTTGAAAAAGCCTTTAAAAATCCCAACCACCTGGCTTACCCAGATGGGAACAAAGTGATGCTGAAAATCTGGTATCTTGCCGGAGCGTGGCACCCTGCAGTCGGTGCTACCCTCACGCCACTGCACTGCAGCCTAAATCCTGAATCAACCCTGTCCCTCAGACACTCTCAAGCTGGTCAATAAGGTGTTTCCTACTGACAGCAGCGAGCTGAAGGTGGAATTGAGGCCTCACTGTGTGCAGGTAGGGTTTTTTATATTTTGCACAACAAACAAGACCCGTAAGTAGGGAGTAGCCACATGTAGAAGATGTTAGATCTCTTAGCCCTCTGCAACCATCGCATCCGAGTGCCTCACAGCCTTTCAGGTATTTACCTTCACAACACTGCTTGGCAAGAAAAATGGAGTAACTCGCCCTGGGTCCCCACCATCGACGATGGAGCAAGAATTGGGCAAAAGCATCCCAGGTTTCAGCTCAGCTCCCCACTTACTATGTAAGCCCTTCTCTGCCTCTCAAGGGTCGGTGGAGACGGTCAGTATTCCCCAATAGAAATCCTTCCCCCAACATACAAGATGAAGAGAGGGAAGGAAAACACAAAGGAGAAAGGTTTTGCCTGGAGCCGCAGAGCAGAGGAGAGGCAGGACCATGACCTGGGACCCAGAGATGCCTATCTCCAAGATGTCCATCCCGGAGCCTGCAGCACAGGAGTTATTTCCAGCCACATTTTTCTCACTCTCTGATCAGATTTGAAATCGACAAAGTATCTCCTCCTATTTCAACAGCAACCCAGCAGACACTGCCAGAAGCAATATATAACCACTACTACAATTCTTACTGATACGTCGTCAGAAAACTGCATTTCTTAAGAAGCTCTACAACAACCACTGGAACTAGGCAATGGACCTACAGAAGTCATTTTGACCACTGGCATGCAGACAAAGACCTTGTTTAAAATGTAGCAAAAACAGATTTCATGATCTGAGGAGTAGCTAAAAAATAATATAACCCTTAAGCTTAAAATTTCTATTAGGAACCCAGCTGAAAAATAAATTCATAATCATTTTCAGATATTTATTTTAAGAATATTGATTATGTATTAATATAAGCTTGTGAGTTTAAAGCACTTCTAAGTTCGCTGAGAGTTCAGACAAAATCAAAACAGGCAGAGACACACGTCATCTCTGCTCTGTGCCACTGAACTGGAGCCCAAAGCGGTCAGGCCCCTTTCTCCCTCTTCTCAATCACTGTGACTCACAGCATGCTCCAGAAAGAGATAATATTATTCCTAGAGAGAGACTGTATCTTCAGTGTCTGCTGAAAAGTCCCCTAACTAAATAAAAGAAACTTGAGCTGCTAATATTTATTCATAATATTGAGCTTCTTGCATGCACAGCGATACACACACACTCGTTTCCACTGGAACAAAAAGTTTAAGCAAAATTCAGGCAAAATACGCCACATAAAGAGCAATACCTCTGCAGGAGTGGTCCATCTTGTTGTATTTGAAGTACCCACTTTTGCACTGGCAGAGCGCGACTCCATCAAAGTCGGTGCATTCAGAAGTTTCCTTGTCGCATTCGGGGTCTTTCTGCTTGCACAAGCTGCCAACTGTTGGGAAGAGGCGGCCAACATCAGCACGGTTCTCTCTGAAACCACCATCATGCACATTTGCCTTCCCCAGGCATCACATTCAGCTCGCGTGCTGCTTTAATCTCTTTTCTTTTTTTTTTTTAAATAATATTTGTTTCATTAGGAGACAGTCAACATTACACTATGTCACCATTTCTTGCATATCTACCGTCATTTGTACAGGCAAATAGAGGGAGCGAATAATAAATGTTTCAGCTCGGAGGCAGAAGGGGAAATGAAAAAGAAAAATTTGGTTTGGCTCAAGCTGAAACACATTCACCCCCTGAGACAGTTCAACAAATCAATTTTTAAGTTTATATCAAGCAAAACATTTTGCTCAGCCCAAAACAATTTTTTTCCATTTCAATATTAAGCGCTGAATTTTTTCATTTTTCAAACAAAGAATTTGTCCTTTCATTTACATTACTTTGAAGCAGTGTTTTACTTTAGAAAGTCAGATTTGTCACAATGAGCATTCAGCAAAACTGTGGGCAAATGATGGAAATTGTGTCACCGAATTTACATTTTTTACTGGGAGGTCGGACTAAATAGAATGAACAAATGAAAAAATATTCACGAGAAACAGGATTTTATGGAAAACGTGTCACTCATTTGGCACTCACCTTTTATAAACCTCTCCCTGCTAGATCCATCATCTCTTTTTTTTTTTGATCTGACATCTTTTAAGTACATACACAAGAACATAATTTTTTTCTTATTCTGCTTATTTCAAGTTAGAAGTAGACTTTACCAGAAGCATTGTATCAGAGGTAACTGCTAGATATAATCTGAGCGGGTCTACCGAAATAATTTAATTCCATCCATAGTGGAGTGTGGCTTTAAAATACGGCATGTTAAAGTAAAAGCACACGCTAAATTTCTCATCTTCGTGTTTACTTTGCCAGAATGATCTGAGGGGTTTCCCACTACACCCAGGCTAAGCGCTGCTGCCCTTCATCCCCAAAGCCAAACCTTGAAGCCTCGAACCCTGAAGTCACAGAGCTCCACGTGCAGAAGTTTCCTTGCAGGAGCCTGTCTTTCAAGGGTGCTCACTCCCTGCATCCTGCCGGTACCTCTCACGGCTAAATCCCCTCTACCGCTCCCTCGAAAAGTGAGGACCGGGAGGTGCAAGGCACAAGGCCACCACCACCTTGGGTCCACCCAGAGAAGGTCCTGCACAACACTGATGTGCTTCTCCAGGGCTCTTTGTGCCACACCCATGTTCCCGTTTGGCAGGTAGAGGATTTGGTACAGAAATCGAAAGCTCTTAATTGTCAACCATTTTTACACCCTGCAACACTGAAACTGGGCAGGCAGGAGAGCACAGCTCCCCACGTAGCCTCCAGCAGCTCTAATCCACTTCACTGGGGGGTTTTGTCTCTTGGCTTTCACGCCGTTTCCCCGGCTCCTGGCCGCGCGGGTGGAATTAAGACTTATGTTTTTTTGATCTGGCCGGGGCCCGGTGTCACATCCCGGAGATGAAAGGCTGCCCCACAATGCCTCTAATCCTGTGCTGCACGATGTTTTCACAGAGAGGCAGATTTCTCACACATGTGGTGAAGATAAGGCGGGATATCTCCATCCCTTTTATACTGCGAGGCTCTTAAGATGACTCCCATTTAAATAAGATAAAAAAGATTCAGAGGAGTTTTTCCAAACGTCAAAATCTTTCTCTCCCTGTTAAAAAGAAGCCAAATAAAACATCCCTTTGCCCTCCGGGCACAGTGCCTCCAGATGCTATTTACCTCTGTGGAGCGGTTTCAGGCTGGAGATGAACTGGCAGGCTTCGGTAGGGTATTTGCAAGCTCGAATGTAGCTTTTCACGCTGCTGACAACGTCGTAGAAAGTCACGTTGGATGCTAAAGAGAACGTGGATTGCACTGAAACATGCACAAAATTTGCCTCCCTAACAGAAAACAAAACAAAACAGCCCTGAGTACCACGGGTCAGTCTGATGTCATCATTAGCACCTTATACATAGGACTCTTATTAACGCAAGCGATGCTTATCACAGACACAATATCGCATACATACTGAAACAGCCGTGCATTGTAACAGACCTTAAAAACAGGACAAACTTACACACAGAGAGGTAAATTTGTGGCTGGAAGGGGCGCTGGTAGCTCACTTCGAAACCAGCCATAAATCCCTCCTGGGCAGCTCACAAGCCCACCCCCAAGCCGCTCAGGCCAGGAGGAGGGTACCGGGAGAGCCGGGCAAGGTGGTCAGGCATTCCCCATGCCCTGTGCTACCGCCGGGCCGTATTGCATCAAGCCCAGCACTGACTCAAAATGGATAATGTGGATCTCAAGTTGAACATCCCGAATGCTCGAGTTTCTCATTCTTCCCCTGGTAGCCTTAGCCTTACCTGGTCACCTTAACTGTGGAGTGGTGGTACCCCGGCAAGCCCGACAACGATGCATTGAGCTGCAAGGAAGGAGAGAGCAGCTGTTAGTGCCCCAGGGGATGATGGAGGGAGGCAGCCCGGCAGGACGCAGCACAGGACAGCCCTCCCAGGTCACCAACACCAACCCCTGTGTTCGCCAGAGCTGCCTGCTGAGGCCGAGGGGGGCTCTGAGCATCCCAGCAGTTCATCTGCTCAGTAAGAAATATGCACCGTCCTGTTGCCAGAAAGGGATGGCCGAAGTCACCATCGCGCAGCCTTGGACAGGAACGAAGACCTGAGGATTTTGACATGAGCATCTACCTGGGGCCCCACTATGCAATGACCGCAAAGGCCGAGGATGAGCCAGAAGCCAGCGGGGAGAGAGCCCCACGCAAGGCCGAGCTCAAAGCAGTGCCCTCAGAGATTGCACATCTTCCAAGGAGCCTCCCTCCCCCTGGATCCGCATGGCTGTTTGTGTTCACTCCCCAGCACAAGCCATGCAGACAGCATCAAGGCAACTCACCCTGGCTCCCCCCTCCTTTGGCGGCATCTCCAAATCACCTACTCCAAAAAGAGTTGGGATGAACTGCAGCCAGCCCAGGAACTGCTAACAGGATGAACTCATGCATGCAATGATCTGGCTAAAAAATGCACAGAGATGGACCTATCCCTAACCCAGGGGTCTTTTTGAAGCAATTGATGGCACAGCGTATGGGGAAGCCACCAGCTCATCCAGTGCTTGCTCTCAACTGACCGAGGGCCACATGGTTGCGATAGCATGGCTGGGAAACTCCACCAAGAAGAAGGTATGTTTGGGTGGGTGCTGCTGCTGCGCTTCATCCCATGGGGTTTGGCTAAGAGCAAGGTGGCACCAGCTGCAGTCCAACCCGTCCCAGCACCTGTGAGCTTTACTGACAAACGACGAAGCCCAGAGTTACTATTTTAATGTTTGACCTTGGAGGAGCACTAATGCCCTTTCGAGGTCTGGAAAAGGCAATGTAGCCAAAAGACACTAGGAAAGGATGGAGGCCACAGAAGCGTGACCCCAGCCACGCCACTTCACAAAAAGGGCTTCAGGATTTTCTGGGCAGCTATACTGTCTTAAGCTCCATAGGAGCCGAATCTCTCCGCTGCTGTCTTGACAGCCTGGGCAGGGCAGGGAAGAGGAGCGTGCTGGGATTTAAAAGCATACATCTCACCAGTCCTACTTACACCAGACCAGGATGGTTCAACGATTAAAAAGGCTAAATCCACTCTACAGAGTCTCATGGCTTCCCATGACAACCGTAAGAGGAGCGAAGGGGATCAGCATTGACAAAGTCCTGGCAATGACACTCACCATCGCCAGGATTTCACCCTCAACGTGGAGGAGCTCTGCGTACTTCCCATGGGTAATGTTAAGTTTCAGGGGGACCTGGCCAATAAATATTCTTACTAAAAAGGAGAATAAGACAAGTTAGTCGGAACACATGTCTCTGTGCCATGTGGAGCTGCGGTTTCATTCACCTTACATGACTGTCTGCATGGAAAACCCCTTCACGCAGCGGACAGAAAACTCATGTCTGAGAGTCACTGCCCCAGTAAAGCAAAGTCCCAGCCTTGGGATTTTTCCCAAGGGTTGCTGCGATGTTCCCACAGCCCCAGTCAAATTCCAGAGCTCAATGCTGCTGAACAGCCAGCATTTCACCGTAGCGTTCATACATTTCATATAGAAACATAGACTAATTTAAAAGGACCCCTGAACAGAGAGGGAGCTGGGTAAATTTAGTAACAAGACAGTTTCAGGTACCAAAGCTATTTATAATAATTTGGGGTAAACGTATTGAATCTCTTCCCCCTCTCTGCAATGGAAGGAAAGCAAATCAACAAGTCAAAATAAAGCACTGTAGAAAGGACATTTTCATTTTTCAAATTGTTGGACAGAATGAGCAATAACATTTGAAAAGAGGTCCAAAAGATGCATTTTTCCATGCTTAGATTCATATTTGATTCATGGCAGCAGAATGCAATAATCTGAGTTGTCCAGACTCGAAGAGATAATATCCCTAAATCTTGTATTAAGTGTCATGAGATACTCGGTGGAAATGAGAACTCAGAGCTCCAGTTTTACGTTCCACCAGAAAAACAAATACGGTTGCAGATAATATTATGAAGCCTCCAATTCTTTCCCATTTTTTCCCATCCACAGAGCCTATTTTCACCACAAATTTTATATCAGACAGCTCTAATGTAACAACTCCGGGTAAAAATAAGATGAGAATCACCTTCACAGTATTTATATAATCTGCCTGTATCCCAGTTCAAGGCATAATCAAAACAACTCTCTAAATTAGAAGCTGCCACATTCCAACTCGAAGAAATGTTTCAAAACACCCTTCAGGGACACCTCACCCATGTTTCCTCAGCAAAATTTCCATGCCTCTAATCCTCGCTGATTAAGGGTCAGAAGAAACTCCAGCAAAACAAATTCCCCTTTACAATGGGACATTGTAAGTCCTTGAGATTGAGAGCCCTCTAATAGAAAGGAGGGGGTCAGAACCTGAGTTCCAACTAATAACTGTGCTGCATGAAAAATGCTAAAGGTACGAAACAAGACCTTGATCTTACAAAGACTTTCACGGCTGCTTAATTTTCCGCACATGGCTGATCCCACTGAAGCCAGGTTACACAATAGCCCCACTCCCTTCTCCCAGGCCAAGCACCATCGCCCGGGTTTGCAGGTCTGGGAGCTACGGTAAGCTGCTGAATGTTTTTTGGGGGTTGTAAAACACATTAGGATCAGAAGGGGCACATCTGTCCTTACTAACAAGCCTGAACCCACCGCTCTGTTGCTGTGTTTTTAAGAAACGCTCAGCTATCACTGCGCCTGCTCCCCAGGGCACCCCAACACGACAGGCATTAGACACTGCACTTGTATAAACAGTAAAAGGCTCTTGTTAAAAGTGGTGGTTGGGAGGAACGTTAAGCTCCTGAACTAGTCTGAGCCTAGGTTAATTTATTTTAGAAGATTGCAGATAATTATTTCCATCTTTTTCTCCCCTGGTTTTTCACTTTTGTTTTCTTACCTAAATTGCACTTTCCTTTTTCCAGCTCATATCCAAGAGGACACTGACAGATATAGGAGCCATGGGTGTTGTTGCAGGTGGCCAGCGCAGGACAAGGGTTGGAAAGACATTTATCCACATCTACAAAAGCAGAAAAAACCCAGGCTATAGTTACAGAATCACAAAAGTCATCAACTGTTGGGCTAAAAAAGATCAGCTTGGCTCCTCTTCTGTGACCCCCTGAGCACTATCAGATGCCTCATTGCATCATTTGCACTTACTATTTATCCAGTTCTTAATTTTTCTGTTGGAGCTGAAAGAATAAATACAAACCACTTTCTCCTGAATATTCCTTCAAAAGCCTTTGGGATCCAGTGTTGATCCATGTTAATATGAACACCCAGGCTGTCTACAGCACTGCTCATCTGCAGATCTCAGGGTGCTTTTCAAAGACAAACAACCCTACAGTTATGAATGGAGAGACCGAAGAAGGGGCCTCGATGGCCAGAGCTAGACATGGGAGCATGGGCCCCTTCACCAAAGTCCTGCCCTTTTCATCCAAGCCCTTTCTATGACCCAAAGCTAGTGCTTGAACACTGACGCAGCCTGTAGATAACCCAGTAATGGTGGAGGCAGTCCTGGCTGCTGTCACCTCCTTTACCAGGGCTGCAGTCTCCTCCGTGCCAGGCTGGGGATGGTCACAGCAGCGATACCTGCCTGTGCCACCACTCATAATGCACTTCCCGCTGGGTGAGCAAGGGCTTGGGGAGCAGACACCAACTGTGAAATACGGAGTATCAGGGGATTAATGACTGTCATCTCAGTTGCTTTATAGATTAGCCAACCCAAACTGCAAATTCTGGAGAAGATATCAAATACTTCCCTTTGAAAAGAACCGTGTCCTGGTCAAAAATGCTCCTCTTGCTGTGCGTATGACTCACATGAGCACAAACGCACATCACACACGCGTGCAAGGGCAGACCGTAGGCAGGACTGTGGACTTGCTGGTGACAAGGCGCTACAAGACGAGCAAGACAGCTTACCCACCACTCCTACCTATTTTGCAGCTGCTGCAGAGCATTGCAGCAGAGGCAGGAAGGATGGGCTTTGCAGTTAAAGCACAAAGCGCGAGAGCCAAACCCATATGTGTATTTCTGACAGCGCCACGATACCCTGTGGCATCACGCAGGCCCTGCAGACCAGTCAGTCCCGAGCCGACCTCCGTGTTGGGACACACCATTTGACGCAATCTCCGTGTCTCAACTACCCTGGCATGGCTACCTCAGCATCAGCGAGAAGGAGATTTGGTGTCTCTGATCTAAGCAGCCAGAAATGAGTGGGTGTATTTTAAAATGTTGGCTTTCACTTTGCTGTCCTTCAGTTTGCGCTTTGTACAGTGGGGACCAGGGCAGCTTCTTCGCTCGCGGCAGTGAGCGCCCACATACAAAGCTCCACGTCCAAGGCAGCAGAAGGATCTTTTGCATTCTGGTAAATGGCAAAACTCATTATTTAAGTGAAAGAGTAACTTGGCAAAAGTGTGAATCAGTTGGTAAAAAGGATATGTTACTTTAATTTTTCGATTAAAAAAATCCATTCCCCTACAGTGAATTTTTTTGCATGAAGCCATAGCTATAATTAAAACCAATCAGCCTGAGAAATAACCTTTAAAAACTTAACTATTGGATGGAATATATGCTATTGCCAGTATTTCACTGAGATTAGTGCAATTAGCACACACAATATCCTACAGCGGCATGAGGGCCAGGCTCCTGAACTTTAAACACACAATTGATTTCCATTCATACAAAACTTCGGTCACTACTTGAGAAGATAAGGAGCCTGGCAGCGGTAATAAATGATTGTAACAACACACTCAGAAAGACTACGGTACGTAGCCTACCAGGAGAAGCAACAGGCCTTTGAGTAGGAGATTATTTAGTGACATGGGGAGAAAATGACCATAGGTCATAATAACAGAAGAAGTTCCAACACAAATACCATGTGCTGGCTAACCGCCTTTTCTCATGAATAAGATAGATATTGATTGATATAGATCGATATTGTCGACCGATCAACAAATATAAAATGCATCCTACGCTTACCTGGAAGGCCAGACAGCTTTATTTTCTTAAAATTCTCAAATTTCAGCTTAATGTTTCTATCAGAATTGTTCACCGAAATGCTCACCTTTTTCCAGCAGTTTACCTTGATTACTAAACCCTTAGCTTAAAAATACCAGCATGGAGACCGAGTTCTTATCCTCAAACCCTGCTGACAACAGACTTGTCACACATACATACATAACCCTCTGAAGACCCTTAAAGTGGGACCCAGGTGTTCCTGGCCCCACCACTGATGAGCGCCATTAGACACATTACCTGTTGCTGGAGATGACATCCTCAGCCCGGCTGTGCTACTTGATGGAGGAACGGTGGTTGGTTTGGCAGCAGCCAAAGTAGTTGCAATGCTCACAGTGGTCTTGCTGGTTGGAGGGGCTTCAGAAGGACTCGTAACAGGGACATTTTCCTCAGTGACTTTACCAGGCCTTGCAGTGGTGGGATCCACAGCTTCTGTGCTTTCACCAGTGGTATACACGTGCTTAGTGGCAGTGGGCGTCTGAGCTCTGTGGGCTTTCATGGTGCTAGCATCACCTGGGGTTGGCCAGCGACTGGCCAGTGTTGTCAGCACAGAAGGTTTCACCGTGGTCAGTGCCACCGCAGGGACAATGACGCTGTGGTTTGTTGCACTTGGTGAGGGACTAAGGGGTGCATCCGTCAGCCCAGCCCGTGGGGCATCGCTGGCTGTGGTGAGCAGTGGCGTTGCCTTCCCGAAGCTGCCTTCCTGGCTGGTGGCAGCTCTTGGTGAGGCAGTCCCCATTACCATCGCAGGAGCAGACACGGACATGATGTGTCCACCAAGCTGCTCCATGGGTGCCGTAGGGAGAGGAGACCCGGTGGAGGTGAAGGTGGTGCTGTTTTGGGGCTGGTGCGTGACATTGTGCTTGTTGGTCCCTCTGGGCGAGCTCCCAGCCACAGCGGCTGTGGAGGGCACCTGCCTGACCACAGTTGTAGCTACAGAGGTGCTTGCTTGATCACTATCATTGGACTGTGAGACGGATGATGGTGACGAAAACAGAGGCAATAAAGATGCTAATGAGTAAGATGGGGAAAGCAACGAGGAAGTGGGCAAGGAGGATGACAAAGCCTGCAGAGGGGGTGAAGATGCCATCACAGAGGACGAGAATGGCTCAGATGATTCTGATGATGTAAACAGATAAGTTGGTGGTGGTGTTGATGACAGTGAGTGATGCAGCGATGACAGTGAGGAAGAGGCTGGAAATGCTGATGAAGATAGAGATGATCTGCCAGTGGTCAACAGCTCAGAGTCAGTGTTGAAGACAGTTGTATTTTGTACGCTGCCTGCAGAAGCAGAAGTCAACAATTTGGAAGAGTGTACCAGCAGTGGCTCTGTAGATGGTTCAACAAAATCGCCATCGCTGGATACGTTGCTCCTCCTGTCCTGTGCCACAGAAGATTTTGATGAATCAGAAGGGTTGGTAATTTCAGAAAAAAAGGTGGAACTTTCTGAGGAGTCAGCAGAGGTGCTGCTATTCGAGATAGACAGGAGGGTCCTTTCTCCTCCTCTGGTATATGTAGTTGAAATGTAAGTGCCATCCGTATGAGAAACCGAGGTCCTTTTCTCAGCGTCGATGCTACTGATTGGCTGATGGCTACTTGAAAAGCCTGGAGTAAAAGGACAAAATATATTAGAAAGACAGACTAATATGAATGTATTTTGATGTCATATTAAAATCACTTGCTAAATACATAAAATGTTCTTGTCTGTGAACTGGTCCGTGCTCTTCTAAAAATTCAGAGCACCATCCAAGCATGGGTATCGAATTAGGAGTCTTCTGCACTCCTTAATTGATTCTAAAATAGTGAACTTGGACAGACACAAGTCTCCGTGAAACATGTAGGTTTCTAAAACACTGTTCTTCCAGTATTGCTTTTCTAATGTGATTGAGTACTTATCGTTCCGTGATATTTTGTGGCAAGCTAAGCAGGAAAACCCATCTGTTCTCTTTATCGCTCATAATTTATAAAACTCATATCCTTTCCCTCTTAGCCTCCATTCCCAACTAAAGAATATCCATCTTATTCAGACGATTTCTTTTTAGACACAGTGAATTTCATGCCTCTGCAGGGTGAAATTATTACATTATGTTAATTTGCAGCTTATCATGAACTCATTGATTGAAAACTTCGCAGTCAGAAAATCCTAAATGAGTAGCACATCAGTCTGCAAAAAATTCAGATTTAGCATAAAAGGTGCAGTCAATCTTATAATATGAATTTCAGGATGTACAGCTAAGTTCAGCAATCTCTAAAAATAAAAAATAGGGTATTGAAAATTTGGTTTAATTCTACAATTGACTTAGGTCATCATGAAACACTTCTGAAAGCATCACCCAAAAGAAACCACAGTTAGGATGCAAAAAAATAATGCGGCCATCAAAACAGGAGAGTTTCCCTGCTCAGGTTCATGGCTTCACTTCTGGAACAATTCTGGGTCTGGCTTTGAGTCCTTTGATGAAAACATCCCCGTGAGTGAACCCGCAGCTGGCATTGCGCATACTAATGAAAGAGAACTTTGTATACAACATAGATAAATGCAGGACAATGTGAACTTCCCCGCCCCCCCCAAATGTACACCGGGAGACACTAACTTACTTGTGAGATCGTTTTGGAAAGAAGAGTAAGTGGGTATCTTGGAAGAATGTGTGAAGAGTGTCTCTGTCGCAAATCCTGCAAAGCCCCCGCTGCTGGTGGAGGCATTGGCCGTCCCACTCTGCTCCACCGACACCGGCTGAGCCGGCCCTGGAGAGCTGGTGGTTTCGGTGTAGGAAGCGGAGCTCTCCGTGCCACCAGCCAGCGCGCCGTCTGTCACCGAGTGCAGCGTCCTCTCTCCACCACCAGCAGACATCCATGAACTGTACGCAGGATCACTGATGGGGCTGGACATCCTTTCCTCGGCACTCAAGCTGCTTAGGGAGTGATGACTGCTGCTCACGGCTGGAATAGGATCGAAAAGCAGGCATCTGATTTTATCATCTCAGAGTAGAGAGCACTTTTGAGTTCTACAATAATTCTGTTTGGAAATGCAGATTAATAAAATTGCACAGATAAACACAGATTAAAAACAGATTAAGTAGATCTCACATATCTATCACCTTAAAGGTGGATTTAACACACAAAGCCTACTCCAAAGAAACAGGACTGTCCAAATACAGATGAACAATTGGTACCATTAGAGTCATAATGGCATATTTATGTTATTTATAATTATCACCCCAACCCAGGCAGGTAGTAGATGCGTCCTACAGCAAGAAGCTACACGTCTCATTCCTGAGACTTTTTTGTTAAGCATCAACAGCTGCAGATATACACCAAGGAGCAGAATCCCCACCGCTTATAAATCCTGCCCACGACACCTGCAACAGCTCTGACACGTGTTGGTGTTAATATCAACCCCATGGAAGAGGGGAAGGGAGAGGCAGTGGTTTTTTTCCTAATTCAAATGCCATCCTGGAGTTCAGAAAAACTCACTGGAAGGTTCACCAGCAGCTGAGAAGTAGGTGGAGACCCTGGATGAAAGGGTGACCTTGGGCTCTGGGTACCCTGCTTGGCTGGACGAGATGTGTCCCGCTCCAGGCCATGCCGTGGAAGACAAGAAGAGGCCAGTGCGGAGCTCCCCGGCCGTGTCTGGGTGAGACGTGGGGCTTTCCACTGCTGTGCTCCACATGCCGTGGTTAGCTGCAGCCTGAGATGTTCCCTCCTTGTGGCTGGAGAGTGTGGTCGAGACATACATGGTCTCAGTAGGAGCACCAGAAACTCTTCTTCCTCTCTCTGGAATTGCAAAGCAGAGATATACATAGATATATATATAAAATATATATTTTGTATGTTAATAAAACCTTTGAGGCCTCTACAGGGACTAAAATCTGAATATTTCAATCCCCACAGTGGGGGTGGTGCTTGGTGACCAACATCACTTATTTGCTAAGTGGAGTTCCCAGGTGATCTGTACTTTTCCCCTTTACACCAGAAAAATAAAACAGATTAGGGTGCATGGCGTTTCTGAAGGAGAATGGTGGCAGGGTGGTAGGACCTGGTCTTGAATGTCCTGCAGAAAATTCCCTTGGGTGGACCAGTGGCTTTCAAACCAGCTCTGGTGGGACCCTGGCAGCAGAGCTGAGGCTGAAAAACACGATAACTGGGATATAAGGAATGGTGAAAGGTCTACCTTTCCAAAGGTCTATGCCTTGCCAAATCTCGTGCCAGGCTTCCCCGGTTTGAGGTCTGAGGTCAAGGCTCCATGGCAGCCTTCACATGTGGCCCAGAAGAGCTGCCTGGCCGTCTAGTTCCCAACACGAAAAGTGCTGCCCCAAGTGCTGTGAGGCAAATAACTCACCAACCGTGCAGTGCCCTTCACTATAAACCAGGCTTACTAAAAAGGCAAATCTAGTTTAAAGCTAGAAAAGGGAGGGTGGGAGCTCAGGACCGGGGTGAGGAGGAGGGACGTCCTCCACAGCAAACCGGGAAACCACAAGACCCACCTGAAGCACTTGGTGAAGGCAAAGGCACTGAAATGCTGGGAGAAAATGCAGGCAGCGGCTTCGTTGGAAGCTCACTGAGTCTGGCACCGCTCTGCGAAACATCGCTCTGCCTCCCAGGCTCTGTTGCTGATGAGGATGGCAGAAGGACCACGTCCAAGGAGCTGGTGCAGGGCAGAGCAGGAGCAGAGTTCCCTGCCGCGCTGGATGCTGCGTGGGTGTCTGACACGGGCACTGGGCTCCTCTCCCCACCGCTGGTGGCTATCATTGAGCTGGGCGTACCGGTGAGAGGAGCATCGCGCAGGCGTCCTCCCACAGCTGAGGTCCCTTCCACTGAGAAAGGGCAAAACAAAATGGATTTATACACCTTAAGCTATAAACAGATGGGCATGCTCTTTTCCATCACCACCCTTAGGCTGATGGCACAGATGTAACGTGGCAGAAGATCCAGACCTGGAGAAAACACTAACTGTGAAGACACAACCCTTTCCTGTGCAAGGAGGTGCTGCTCACAGGAGGACACCCTGAAGAGGGAACTAGGAACAAGTCGTGGGAGCGCTGTTGGGTTTGCTTCCCTTCGGCACTGCTCCTGGCGCTGCCCTTCAGCCGTGGGCACCGTGCACCCGCACCGCCACCGCAGTGCCTGCGGTGAGCGAGGTAGGGTTACGGCAGCACCTAACTCCCTGATACTCGAAACAGAGCTCGGCAGGGCTGTACGGGGTCAGCAAATGCTGCATGCATCCCAGGGAGGGAGTCAGGAGTGACTGGTGTTGCCTCCTGCTTGTATAAACACAGCCAACGGGGCAGTCTTGAAATTGTGCTGTCTAAGAAAACATGCCAAATCTCAGGGCCAGACTGCTCTTGCAGTAAGGCTGGGTTTCTCTGGTGACTAAATGCAAAAAACATGCATTTTTCTCTGGAAGTTGAAATTTTCCTCCATAATGCCCAATACCATTGTCTAGCACCTTCTAGCACGCCCTCACTCCCCCACACAGAGCAGATGTTTGAGGTCTACAAGAAGAAGCCCCACGGGGACAGTCAGGGCTCACCTGGAGAAGCACTTTCCGAAGCAGACGGCGAGCCTGTGAGCAACGGGTCCATGGACGACATGGTGGCACCTCTGCCACCACCCTGGGCTCCCAAAGAGGACTGGGTATGGTCTGGAGAGCTGATGGTTTCGGTACCAGTAAAGAGGACTGGGTATGGTCTGGAGGGCTGATGACCTTAACGTCCTCCCTCCGCCCTTGGTGGCTGTTGTGGAAACAGAGGTACTGGTGGTGGGGAAATCGGTTCTTCTCTCTGTTGACAGGATACTGAATGACACATGGCTGCTTCCAGTAGCTAAGACGCAATAAAGAAACAATTTACATTTTCACACAAGTGAAACTATAAATAAACAGACGAGCTTTCTTCCAGTAACACCCAGCAGCAGCAAGTACATGCACAAGTAGAGAATACGAGAAGATGTCAATCCAGAGAAAATAGGAAATTTCCAAAGACATGAATCCTTCCTACAGAAATCTGTCTTCTAAAAAACATGGTTTGATGCCGAGAAAAGTGCTATTGTATAAAAACTCCTGAACTACTAACGCTGTACATTTGATTTCACCATTATGTGCCTGAGTGCACTCCATGCTGCTAGAACAAACAAATACCGTAACAACACAGAAAAGCCTGGAAATCAGTTCAGACAAGGCACAACGCTGAGCAGTGTGAAGGTCTTAGAGAAGAAGTCTGAAGAAATGGGGTCAGGGGGATCAGACCCCTTCAGCACCGCAGCGGGGCCTAGAACCAAACAGCGGCATGAAGGACCTCAGAGATCACATTCAAAGTTGCCTTAAATTTGTTGAATTGGTTCAATTTCTGAGAAGCAGCGTGGTCCAAGGGGTAGGACAGAGGGCAGGAACTGAAGTCCGGTCCCTGGGACTGCAGGGACATGATCTAATCCTCCCTTGCTTAGTTCTCTTGCCTATAAAATGGAGATAGCAACTGGAGATAGTAAAAAAAGAATTGTGAAAGTTAATTATTTTTCTTGGCGTAACAAAACTTTCCACACATGTGCCCTTGCTGTAATAAAACCAAACCACATTTTTTGGTCAAGCAAGAGTTGAAACATTTCAGACACAAAAATCACACTGCATCCTTCCAAACAATATATTCTGCATAGCTGTCACGTCTTTTGACAGCAGAAAAGAGTCACGCAAGTGTAAGATACAGTAACAGTCCTCCTTTTACTTACAAGAAAAATGGTATTTCACTTCTAACTTGAGCTCACCTGGGGAAGGATCTTCCGAAGGAGAGTGAGAGCGTGTTAACGAAGGGTCTGCCACCTGCTCCGTGAAATCCGTGGTTTCTCTGGACCCACGAACTCCGTAGATCTCTCTCACAGAAGACGCAGACGAGGATCGGATCGTGCCCAAGGTCCTGTACATGCCACTGCTGGACGTGGAGACTTCTGCTGCCCATCGGCTGCTGCCTGTGGCAGACCTCGGGGGCCTCC